CATTTCCACTCAGACCAGCCCCATGTCAAGTACTCAGTAGCCACACATATTGGATAGAAAATCCTGAACCTTGCAAAAATTACAGAGGACATAGGAACAGGTCCTCAAAGGGAGTTACAGGATAGCTCAGGATTTAGGAGCTCTAAACAGAGCCATGCACTGCTTTCCTAGCTTTAGAGAAACTCATATGTAAAAAATTCATCTTGACAGGAAAGGTAAAGCAGGAAGTGATTATTCATGTTACAGAAGAATTAACCACAGGATCTTTTAAATAGCAGACTCCCTTAGTGCACAGAAGAATGTGACTCAGTTTGCAAAAATGTGATTGACACTTGACATTTTAGTAGGGCCTTTGTTGGGCAGAAAATTGTCAGTACAAAATGCAAGCTGCACAGTCGGGTTGTCAAGTCTGTATTGAGCACCTACTGCTTGTCATGGAGGCTCACAGGGGGCCACGGTGGCACTAAGGATGATCCATACCCAGAAGGCATTTAGAAGCTCCCCAGGAGGACACACAGGCAGCAGCTGCAGCATGTGATGACCTCAGTGGCAGGATCAGGGAAGTCTGGGAGCGGGAAGAAGCAGGCAGATGGTGTGGGGCCAGTGGCAGAGAAGGTACACGTGACTGCTTCAGTGTAGAGGAGAGGGCTACATTTTCTTTCAACTGGGAGCTTAAAGAAAAGGTAAGCCAGGAAAGACCAGCTAGATAGGAGATTGGAAGAAGACTCAAACGTTACACAGTTAGGTTTTATTTATCTTTATGTCCCCAATCCCTAATCCCAAGCCTTCCTCTTAGTAGGCATCCCTGGAGCCATGCCTTTGAGCTCATGGAAAGAGAGATTGAAGAAAAACTAGGATGTGTTTTTCCTTATAGCCATCTACCCAAAGTGGATTCTGTTTATCTTCTGCCAGCTTTTCCTTGGTAAAGCTCACTAGAGAACAGAGCAAGTGCAATTTACTGTTTGGAAAGGAAGAAGTAAGGCTGTGCTCTACAAGTTGGTCAGGTCCTGAGTCCCTGAGATGACACAGGGCCATAGTGCACTAGCATGATGGGCCCCGACCAGACCCTTTCTTTGAAACCTCCCTGTTGAAGCCTTCACTCCTGCAGGCCTGGCTTCCCCCACCTCTACTTACCACGCTCTTATGTTTCCCATCAGAAAATCCATGAGCTTTCCTCTCCAGGTGCTAATGGGATCAGCCCTGGATAGAGCCTTTTTGCTTCTTGTTTAAAACTATACCTGTTAGCTGGGGCTTGTGTCACATACCTGTAATCCCAGTACTTGGGAGGCTGAGGCAGGAGGACCAGTGGAAGTTTGAGGCCAGCCTGGGCTACATAGTGAATCCAAAGCCAACCTGAACTACACAGTGAGACCCTGTCTCGAAAACAAAATGAAACAAAACACCTGTTAAAAAGCAGTTGAATATCTCTTTGTACATTTATTTGTGGATTATATATGTGTGTAATACATACATATACAATCATGAGCTACTTAATGACGGAGACACATTCTCAAACACATCTTGTTAGGTGATTTCTTCACTGTGTGAACCTCATAGACTACTTACATAAACTAGGATGGCTGTAACCTCGCTATGTGCTGTAATCTGGTCAGGCCACTGTCTTATGTGGTCCATCCTTGACTGAAATGTTGTTATGTAGCACACAACTATATACACATTTAAAATTGAGGAAATCCCAGAGAAGCCTCTAAATGTCTGTTATTTAGCAAACTTTTGGAAAATGTAGGATTGTATGGCTATCTACAGTTGGGGGAAAATAAAGACATTTTCTTCATGGTTCAGGTATATAGTTTTTAAATTTTGCTAATCCTGAGAGCTCAACTTTTACACGTACACATGGGTGGGAGTAACCAATTTTATAAATTATCTTGATAATTGGGAGTTATTTGGTCATCCCTCTGTAAGATGTGATGGACTTGTCCTTGTATTTAGCTCCATATGTGGCTGGCAAAGGCCCTCTTTAAGATCTGAAGTAGCAACTCTGTCTTCCCTTCCCTCCTCTCTCTCTCTCTCTTCCTCTTCTCTCCTTCCCATCTTTTCCTCCTATTTTCAGTACTGGATTGAACTCCACTGGCTACATACCCAGAGTGTGTATACACACATATATGTATTTTTTTGAGACAAGGTCTTGCAGTGAAGTTCAGGCTGGCCTAGAACTCATGGTGATCCTCTTGCCTCAGCCTTCCAAGTGCTAGGATTATAGGCATGTGCCACCACACCTAGAACTAGCTCTTACATTTTTTTTTTTTTTTGAGTCAGGGTCTTGCTATGTAGTTCGGGCTGGCCTTGAACTCACTGTGTAGCCCAGGCTGGCCTCAAACTCCCAGAAATTCTCCTGCCTCAGCCTCTCATGTGCTGGGATTACAGGCATGCACCGCCACCTCTTAAATTTTGAGACAGGGCCTCACTAAGTCACTAAATTGCTTGGGCTGGGCTTAATCTTGGGATTCTCTTGCTTCAGCCTCCCATAGTGCTGAGGTTACAGACATACCTCGTCACTCCTGGCTTGATTACTTGGCTTATAGTTGCATATTGTCAATTATTCTTGGTGTCTCATACACATCTTTTCAGGATGATACTATTTGGTGAGGTGATCTTAGTGCCAAAAGGTCAATGTATACAGCAGGTTTGCCAGAACCCTCTAGCAGGGCTCATGGTCCAACATTCCATGGTTCTGCTATCTCTTGGTCTACATGCGGCCCTCTGATTGTCTGACCTAGAGGTTAGGTAAGAAGCCAGGATCATTCTGTACATGAAATACTAGCAAAGTTGATCTTTTTCTTTTTAAAAGAAAATAAAAAGACATTGTTTTTCTGCCATCATGTCAGCAGATCCCTGAAGAGGGTACATCCCACTTTGGAGAGCTCTGGCTCAGAAAATGGGCTTAACTTCCTTGCTGAGCTTCAGGTTCTTTAATTGGGATGATGGGCAACATGCTATTTAATTAGGAAATGAGATAGTGTAGGAAGCAGTGCCTGGCACATGAACAATGGGTACTGGAATCTCAGTTCCTATAGCAAAGCTTCAGTAGATCAGTCTCTGGGTGATTCGAAGAAAGCTGTGTTTTGTTTTGTTTTGTTTTGTTCCCCTTCTTAGGGATGGTTCTTGCTTTTTTCTTAGGGATGTTGCCTAGGCTTGAGGACTCACAGTCCTCCTGCCTCGGCCTCCTTAGTACCTGGGACCACAAGCACATGCCACTGCACCTGGCTGAAAAGTTGCTTTTTTTTTTAATGATCTGGTTCTGATTGTCCTAATGGCTCAGTTTAACTGCTGGGTTGAAGGTCAGCAACCAGAAGAAAGTGGAAAAGGCTGCCTTGTGTCTGCTCTTACACACCTGCTTTCTGTTGATAAGAAATAACAGTGAGTCAAAACTCAATTTTGTCCTGGGAAGACTTACGATAGTGGAATGAACCAGATAATTTGAGAATGAAACAATGATTGAGGAAAAGGAAATTCCATTTTGCATTGCTTTTGAACTGGCTAGTTTAGCTGACATTATGAGTGAACAGTCTGAGTGAATAGAATATTCTAAGCTGGAAATGCTTTGGGAACTCATTCCTAATGGATGTGCAAAGACCTTGTGATGGGAACTCACTCTCCTACTAACCTTTTTTTCTGAAAAACCAACCTCAGTGAATTTTTAAACTCATTTGTACCTTTTGTTTCCTATATACAAAATCTTTGCCAAAGCCAAGGTCATTAAGATTTTCTCTTATGCTTTCTTAGATAGAAAAAAAGCTCAAAGGCTCCAAATGTAAGGCTGTGACAAGGAGAGGGAACCTCTAATTACCCTGATTTGATCAGTACATACTGTGTGCATGTGTTGAAATATCACATGACCCCATTAAGATGTATCATTATTATATGGTAATAAAAAATTCACAAACCCAAAAGTGCTTTATAGTTTGATCATCTTGGATTTATGTATGCAGTACATTTTGAGTTAGTTTTAATACGTGTGCTCTTTACAGAGCTTGTTTAACGTTTCCTCTTACAATATTTTATCATAACTTCTAATTTGCTAATTTAAGGCCTGAGGTTTCATTTAATTTTAACTACCCTTTGTGTGTGTGTGTGTGTGTGTGTGTGTGTGTGTGTGCATGTATCCATCCATTTATTCATATGGAGTCTGCAAATGAAAAAGAAAAAGGTGTTGAGATTGGTTTGTTTTGAACTGGGCATGAAGAAGAGCCCAAACTCTAAATGAATTGCAAAATCAGTGTATGGGCATGTAAACTAATCTGTGGATTGGTTAGCTCTGCTGGTTTGCTGTGGCACTTCGTGAACAAGAAGGCTCATCTTCCTCACCTGTTACCTTTGCCTCTTAGCAAATATGAGAGCTACTTAGTTTGCTGTCAATTAGGAGTAGAATCTACAGTAGTGCAGCACTGCTGCCTAGGCACTCATCTATTGAGTGGGCAGTCGTGGTCCTAATGTAGGCAGTCTAAGATGCTGGTTCTGTGCGCTGTTGGCTGTCTATACCAGCCATCTTTACACATGTGGTCATTGAGAGATGGGTGTTTTCTCTGGAGGGTGGAAATTATGGTCCATATTTTGCATAACCAAAACCCAGGGAGGTTTGCATCAAAAAGTTCACACTAGGAGAGAGGGGGCTCAAGGGCCCTCTCTCTGTCTGTTGTCTGCAATCTCTACACTTGGGAAAATGATCCTGGACTCCCCCTGGCTGGAGCAAATATTGTTAGGCTGCTGTCATCATGTGGTTTCCATGCCGAAGCCCCTACTGGCTTTGAGAGCTGTAGGCCATGCTGTCTATGTCAGACCAAGACCAGCACTTTGTGGTTTCTGTGCTATAGGCTTCAGGTTAACCAAACTTGGGTTGCTGTGTGGCTCTGTTATTTTAAATATTTGTAGAGGGGCAGTCCCTTTAATATGACTTTACTGTTCTTCCATGGATGCAGGGCTTCGAACTTCTGCTACATCTGATCTAAACTGTTCTTTTTTTCCCCCGTCCCTTCCAGTGGAGGCCATAGTGGAATTTGACTACCAGGCCCAGCACGACGATGAGCTGACGATCAGCGTGGGTGAGGTCATCACCAACATCAGGAAGGAGGATGGAGGCTGGTGGGAGGGACAGATCAATGGCAGGAGAGGTTTGTTCCCCGACAACTTTGTAAGAGTGAGTACAAAGCAAAACCCTTTTCCTGTCTCCTGTGTGGGTTGTGCTGAGCAAAGGCTATGGGGCACTTGAGGGTGAATTGCATGGAACTGGGGACTGGTTTGAAAGCTTTATCTCCTAGGTGATATCAAGAAGAGTACATGTAGTTTTGCTCTTGACATCTGAGATACCTGTTTTGAAATGGCTTTTAAAAGGTTCAGAATGCTATCTTCCTAAACTCTGTAACATTTGTTAAAGGCTTGAAAAATAATAGGAAGCTTGTTAAATTGTTCGATTTATGTACTTATTTATTTGCTTCGAGAACTTAGAAGAATTTTTCCTTCTTCCATTCCATGCAAAATAGAGGTGAAACTTAGTTTAGACCACTTATCTGAAGTGGCAATCAGTCTAAGTGCAGAATCTGAATTAATGTGGTTTTCCATCTTTGTATGTATATATTGCCTTTTTGATAGGAGCAATATTATTTTCCTCTGCCCTGGGATGTCCATAAAGCATTGAATAAAACCTATTTGTTCAGTAAGGTTTTGAAAATTATACCTTTTGCAGAAGTCATCTAGGGCTTAATTACAAAAATGTAGCCCATTCATGTTAATAAATTACATATGGCACCATTGTAAATGCTAGTTTGAATTGTTGTGTTAAAAAAAGGATCACCTGGAAGTTGTTTCACATGGGAAATGCTAACTGGGTCTAAAAGCCCCAGGGCCATATGTTTCTTATCCAACATGGGAGAAGAACGGATGTCTTTGGTAGGAAGATCTGCATGCAGAAATTCCAAGTCCTTTGTGGTATCAGGCCATACTTAGGAACATGCCGGGGCTGTGGGGTCAGGTAGTATGGGGGGATCTTGGTTCCAGAGAAGCAGGTAGCTCCCTCAAAGGGAGTACCAAGGGCTGGGGGAGAGGGTTTTATGATAAGGGGTGTTGGTGAAAAAATGGATGACATGTTCCCAGCTTCCAGCCCTTGGGCCTTTTATCCCTACCCTGTGGGAGTTTAAAATGAGCAGGGATCTAGTTCAGTTTTTCTTCAGGATCTTGCTATGGGATGCTCCTAACATTTCTTTTCTTTTTGGTGTTCAGAAAAGTAGGAGTTTTGGAAACATGCTGCTAAACATTGCTTTGTGTAGTGGTAGGTGTATAGACATCTCTCCTCCCCCATCACCCCAGACTGTGCCTGAATCCAGAAGTTCTCTAGTTTTATGAGTAGGAAAGCATTACATCCCAGCCACCAGGGATTGCCTCTGTTGATTTGTAAATGAGAGGTAATTTTTTGCCTTTCCAAACAAAACCTCCAGTTTTGGGAAAGGACTGTCTTTGAAGTTGAGCCAAATTCTCGTGTAAAAGGAGAGTTTTTTCCAAACAAAAGGGGCAATTGTGGGAGTGAAGATGAATGAGGAAGGAAGGGTGAGAGAGGAAGAATTGTGGGAAAGGGAGAAGAGGACACTGGGAAGAAGGGAGGGCTGTGGGAGAGGGTGGAGTGGAGGAAAGAAAAAGGATGAGCCTGGGAGGAAGGGACTGCAGCGCGGGCTCTAGTTTTGAGAGCTCGACCCATTCTGCATTCCGTGACTGTGTCCTGTTGGCTTGGTACTCCCTATTTCAGATTGCAGATTCACAGAATCCAAGAGTTTAATTGGAAAGCACTTAAAAAAACCTGTGGAATGCTTTGGATTAAAGGCTGGTATGCTATAAGGAATTGTGGAAGATGAGAAGAAAGCAAGACCTAGAAAGACAGGGCAGGGGTTGTTCAGGTGATGTCAGGGATCACCTCTCTGGCTTTCTGCCCGTGGGATTGCCTCTAGTGGCCAGTTGCCCCTCGGGAGAAAGGTGGCTGTTCAGACCCAGTCTGCTTTCCACTCTGCTTCCTGTCATCCCCCCTCAGGTTTGGGGCCTCTTTTGTCTTTAATCTTTGGCTATTGCCTTGGGGTTTCTGTCAGCCACTTTATAAATGTCTGCTTATTCATCCTGCCTCTGCTTATTCCAGTGTGAGCATGCTGTTTCCCTTTGAGAGCCAGCTGCCTCATGAGCTGCTCTGGGGTTTAAACAGCGCAGTACCTGCAGTTTGTCAGCACTGTGGTGGCCACCTAGTTGAGATCTGCCGCTGCCACTGGTCCTCTGCTCTGGGCCCGTCCCCCTCTGCTCCTGCCCAACCAGTTGTCACCTGACCTTGGCTTGAGCCCTTGTCCCACTGAGGGGAAGCTTTTTTTTTTGGTGGTGGGGGGGTGTAGTTGTATTTCTGAGGGCAGAAAGGATGTGGCAGGAACATCTGGGACTGCACAACTTGTGGTTGTCACATTTGGCAGAAAAAGAAACTTTGATTCTTTCATATGGCTGAGTCTATTTTCAAGTCTTCACCCTTAGGTCTATTATTGAAAATTCAGTAGGTGGATGCAGTGGAGATTAACAATGTGTAAATCACTGGTGTGCATGATGATTATTGTTTTTGCATAAGAATATACCTCCTGTAGAGAATTCTAAAAGCAGAAAACATGTCTTTGAGTAATAACAGATATATTGGCATAGGTTTGCCTTTAAAGTGGCTTTCTGTACATTTTATTTAGTTTGAGACTAATTTGCTCATGGACTGAATCAGGCAGTTTTGTGAAATGCCATCATTTATTGGTGTGCCTTTATGTTGATGTCATTACTGTCGGAGACCCTGTCTTAAGCATTTTGTTAATTCACTTACGAGAGTTTTGCTCAGTGTCACATTTGAGTATGCATTCCTGAAATGTTGGCATTCATTGTCTGCCTGGATTTGTCTTAGATAGTATCTTTGTCTCTCTAGAAATGAATACTAGCCTAGCCTCTGAGCACCAGGCCATCCCATCGTTAAAATGTATGTTCTTTGCCAGTTCTTGGGCTGAGATTTGTTGGCCCACATGGCCTTTGACTTTGTTACTTCTTGTATTTAGTTCTGACTTGTTTACTCTGTGGCAGAAGGATCTTTCCAATTTTCCTTCCCTGTCTTTCCTCTACCTCTTTCCTTACCTACTTTTGGAATATATTTCCCTTTATTCCTTCTATTTTTAAAGATTTTAAAGCTCATTTCAAGGTTAAATTTACCTAAAAATGTGTAAATCATTGGTGTGCATGATGATTATTGTTTTTGCATAAGAATATACCTCTCAGGGCTGGGGGTTTAGCTCAGCAGGAAGCGCAGGGTCATGAGTTCGATCCCTAGCACCAAAAAAATAAAATAAAGAACCTACCTCTTTAACCACCATCCAGATCAATACTGTTGCTGTCCCTCCAGAAAGTTCTATTATATCCTTTCCTACTTGTTCCCCTCCCTAGGTAATCAATATTGATAGATTATTGTTTCTTATACTTGAAATTCATATAAATGGAGTCACACAATATGTATTTTTTATTTATCTTTTTTTTTCTGTACCAGGGATTGAACTCACAACTGCACGTTTGCAAGGCAGGCGCTTATGCCACTGAGCTAAAGCCCCAGCCACAATATATATATATATATATATATATATATATATATATATATATTTTTTTTTTTTTTTTTTTTTTTTTTTTTGTCTTTTTCCTTTTTATCGGTACCGGGGATTGAACTCACGACTACCTGCTTGCAAGCCAGGCACTTATGCCACTGAGCTAAATCCCCAGCCCCCACAATATATATTTTTAATGCATGGCTTCTTTGTGCAACAAAATCTTGTTGCATGTATTAGTACTTTTTTCTTGCTGTATAGTATCCTACAGTAATATATAAACTATAATGCATTTATCCATTCTCCTGTTGATGGATATTTGGGTTGTTTATAGTTTGGGGACTTGGGGATAAAGTTTATGAACATTCTTGTGTGTCTTCTATGGTCATGTATACTCATTTCTCTCGTGTGTGTGTGTGAGAGTGTGTGTGTGTGTGTGTGTGTGTGTATCCACTTAGAGGAGTGGAGTTGAGCCCTCATTTTCAATCAAGGGGTCTTTCTCTATAGAGCTGTGGTCTCTGTGAGGGGAAGGTGTCACATTTATGCTTGAGTCTTTTAATCTGATGAGCTACCTAAACTAACCACACATAATCTTGGTGTCAGAGTAGCTGGCCTGTGGCTGACTGGTGAAGAGTACGGGAGCATAGAACTCAGTCTTGCAGGGATGATTTGATTGTTGTACCTCAGAACTATAAAGACTAATTCTTCAACTGGGTGTGGTGGTACACACCTGTAATTCTAGCACTCTGAGAGGCTGAAGCAGGAGGGTCACAAGTTTGAACCCAACCTGGACAACTTAGTGACTTAGTAAGACCCCATCTCAAAATAAAAAGTGAAAAAAAGGGCTAGTGATGTAGCTCAGTGTGAATGCTCTGGGTTTAATTCCCAGTACTAAAAAAAGGACAAGTTGTTACATTATTAAAATCATGCAAACAAAGAGCATGTATCTAAGTTCTGTTGAACTCAAAGAGGAAACTAGCAGAATAACAAAACTGATTCAGGGAGGATATGAGAAACTGATTAAAAAGTCAGTGGAAAAAGGAATGTTCATGTAAGATTACAGTTAGATTTGAAACTGGTTCATATCTTAGAAGACAATACATCCTAACCTTTGAGGTTATTAACTGTACCATGAAAGATAAAAGCCTTGCCACTTTTTTTGTGTTATCTTCTTTTATAGAGTTGTAAAATTTCCTAATAAAGTGTTAGTTATATTAAGTTAAACTTTCAGAGAGGCTGATGACCTTCTTGGGGGACTTACTAGAAAATGCATTAGCATGACATTAGGTCATACAATCATCCTTTTAGCCTAATTTCTAAATTCTGTATTTTTTTCCCTGAATAGACCATGATAGACCATAATGTGGAGAGGAAAAATTTGGAGGAATCTTCAAAGTCATTTAGTTAAAAATATGACTGCCCTTGGGGAATTCATATTGCCATATAAACAGAAAGTCACCTGTTTTAGGCATATATGGGCTCTGTGTACTTAATTACCTGTGTCTTGCTTTTAAATCCTTATTATGGAATCCAGAGGACAGTTATGCAAAGGATT